TAATATTTTCTCCTTGACCTGGGAACTCTGGAATTTGGCTACAATATTCCTAGGAGTTTTCCTTTGGGGATCTCTTTCAGGAGGAGATCTGTGGATTCTTTCAATTTCTATTTTGCCCTCTGGTTCTAATATATCAGGGCAGTTTTCCTTGATAATTTCTTGAAAGATGATGTCTAGGCTCTTTTTTTGATCATGGCTTTCAGATAGTCCAATAATTTTTAAATTCTCTCTCCTGGATCTATTTTCCAGGTCAGTTGTTTTTCCAATGAGATATTTCACATTGTTTTCTAATTTTTCATTCTTTTGGATTTGTTCTACTGTGTCGTGATTTCTCATAAAGTCACTATCTTCCAATTGCTCTATTCTAATTTTTAAGGAAGTATTTTCTTCAGTAATCTTTTGGACTTCCTTTTCCATTTGGCCAATTTTCTTTTTAGGGCATTTTTCTCCTCATTGGCTTTTTGGACCTCTTTTGCCATTTGGGTTAGGCTATTTTTTAAGGTGTTATTTTCTTCAGTATTTTTTGGGTCTCCTTTAGCAGGCTGTTGACTTGTTTTTCATGATTTTCTTGCATCACTCTCAGTTTTTCCTCTACTTCCCTTACTTGCTTCTCAAAATCCCTTTTGAGCTCTTCCAAGGCCTGGGACTGATTCATATTTTTCTTGGAGGCTTTGGATGTAGGAGCTTTGACTTTGTTGTCTTCTGGTTGTATATTTTGATCTTCTTTGTCACCAAAGTAAGATAATACAGTCTGACTCTTTTTGCACTGCTTGCTCATGATCCCAGCCAATTACTTGAGTTTTAAACTCCTTGTTAAGGTAAGAGTCTGCTTCTAATATGGAGAATGTATTGTCCCAAGCTTCAGGGGTTTGTATAGCTGTTTTCAGAGATACTTGTAGCGACCCGTAAATTTTCAGTTCTTGCAAGGCGGTATGATAAGGGGTGAGATGTTTACTCCTTTCCTGGCCTGTGACCACAAGTATTCCTTTCTGTCCCGTAACTGTGAGGAAGGGTTCCTCTCCACAGCCACTCCAAACTCTACCACACCAGCGTTCCTCCTCACCCCAGCACCGCCGCCCAGAACTGTGACCCAGATCCAAACATGAGCAAAGCAAGAGATTCCTGCCTCAGCACTGGCAAAGAGATCCCTGCAGTCCCTCTCTGATCAGCCACTGGATTCCCCCTCAGTCTGTGGGCCAGAAGCTCGGGATGCAGCTGCCCCCCCACCCCCGGGCCATGCTCTTGGGGAATAGAGCTGAAACCCCACCTTCCTGTCTCAGCACCGACAGAAACAGACTTTTCCCACTGACTTTCTAAGTTGTCTTTGGTATTCGCGGATTGAGGAGTCTGGAAACCGCCACAGCTGCCCAAGATTCAGTCCTCTGAGGCCTGCTCTACGTTTGCTGTGGCCTGGGCGCACTGCGCTCCCAGCCCGGGCGATACACCTTTCTGATCAATCTTCCAGGTTGTCTTGGGCTGGAAATTTGTTTCACTCTGTCTTTTTGTGGGTTCTGCTACTTCAGAATTTGTTTAGAGCCATTTTTTATGAGTATTTGGAGGGGTTTGGAGGAGAGCTCAAGCAAGTCACTGTTTTCACTCTGTCATCTTGGCTCCACCCCTCAGTTGTTTTTCTAATGAGGTATTTTACATTTTCTTCTATTTTTTCATTCTTTTGATTTTGTTTGATTGATTTTTGCTGTCTCACAGAGTCATTACTTTTATTTGCCAAATTTTAATTTTTAAGGAATTATTTTCTTCAGTTGGCTTTTGTACTTCCTTTTCCATTTGGCCAATTCTACTTTTTAAGGAGTTCTTTTCTTCAGTGAATTTTTGTACATCTTTTTCCATTTTTTGTGCTTCATTTACCAAGCTGACTCTTTTTTTATAATTCTCTCGCATAACTCTCATTTCTTTTCCCAGTTTTTCTTCTACCTCACTTATTTGACTTTTAAAATCCCTTCTGAGTTCTTCCAGGGGAACTTTTTGGGCCTGAGACCAATTCATATTCCTCTTTGAGGCTTCACATGTAGGTATTTTGACATTGTTATCCTCTTCTGAGTTTCTGGGGTTTTTGTATGTTTGTTTGTTTTGGTGAGGCCGATGGAGTTAGGTGACTTGCCCAGAGGCTAGATTTGAACTCAGGTCCTCCTGACTCTAGGGCCAGTGCTCTATCCGTTGTGCCAGGTAGCTGCCCCTGTGTTTGTGTTTTGATCTTCCCTGCTGCCATAATAGCTTTCTATGCTTAGGGCTTTTAAAAATTTTTGCTTGTTTTTTAGCTTATCTCGTGACTTTTAAAGCTGAGCTCTGCTCTTGGGGCACTGTCCCAAGCTCCTTGCACCAGGGGCTAGGGGGCTGGTCACAGGCTTTCTGTGCCATGGACTCTGGGGCTAGCAACTAGCCTGTTATACTGGGATCTCCTAGCCTAGTCTTGCAGGTTGTGCTGGAGCCTCTGGGTCTGCTAGGCAGCACTAGCCTGTTACACTGGGGCTGGAGGCTTCACAGTTGGCCCACTGTGCTGCTGGCCTGCTGAGCCAGAACTGTGGGGCCTCAGTTGCTGATCTGTGCTGGGGCTAGAGGCCTCCTACTGGCTTACCCCAACAGTGCTTGCACTGGGTTGTGCTCCCCTTTTACCCAAGTGAGACAGTTATTTCCTATAGTCCTTCCAAGTTATCTTGGGCTGGAAAATTGTTTCACCCTGTCCTTTTGTGAGTTCTGTTGCTCCAGAATTCGTTTTGAGGTATGATTTAAAGTTGTTTCAAGGGAAATTGGGAAGAGCTTAGGTAACTTCCTGCCTTCTTTCTGACATCTTGGCTCTGCCTCATGTGCATTTTCCTCTATCCTATTAGTTTATACTCTTTTTTTCATTCTGCCCCACTTTTCTTTCTTCTTCATTTAGTACAATAATTTAAGTGATTAAAATTAATGAAATCTGAATCCACTTACATGGAAAAAAATGGAAGCTAATATTGTGTTTTTCAAAATAAGCTGATTTCCTGATTTATATAATGATAAATTAAATCTTGAAGGTTTTACAAAAATAATACAATTAAGGCTTAACACTGCTTAAATACAAAACACCTATAATTTTATCAATATGGATGCTCCCTCTAACAACACAGACTGCAACCCCTCCATACTTTAGTACAATTTTAATAGTAGCTCTGTTCTCCCACGTCCCAAATATCTATTGCATGATGAACAACTTTCTGGTAACAAATCTCTAAATTCCATAGCCCATAGCTAGGACCAGCCCTGAAGTCTTTCTAGGTTAGTAAGCCCTGTCAGAACTCATAGTGTATTAGCATAGCCTTCAAGACCCAAGGTTACCTTCATGCTATGATTTTCAAGAATCAAGGCTCCTCTCATGCTATGATAAGACATCAGCAGAGACAACTTAAATAATACAATAACTAGAAGTAATCTCTTCCCCAATTTTCTCTCATAACACTTTGTATTTCTCTAATGCATTCTAATTATATTCAAATTTATAATACATTTATATGGGTACATGTCTTATCTTTACTACTAGATGGTAAGTTCCTTGAAAGCAGGGGCCATGACTTACTTATATTTACATTTCCTAAAAGGTCTAGTATGTATGATAGGCACTTAATAAATATCTTCTGAATGGAAGAATAAAAGATGATAGGAAATGGCATCAGGGGATACACCATTGCTTATTCAGCCCATTGTTCTGTTTCTAAAAGTGGCACCAAATATTTTGTGACCCTGGGGCTGCTACATGCCATGAAATACATCCAAACATTCCCAATTGTTCTTAAAAACTTATAATAAGGGGCAGCTAGGTGGCACAGTGGAGAGTTCAAATCCGGCCTCAGACCAAACACTTGACGCTAGCTGTGTGACCCTGGGCAAGTCACTTAACCCCAGTTGCCTAAAACAACAACAACAATACAACAACAAAACAACAACAATAACAACATAATAAGCCATTGATTAATTTAACTCAATCATTTTTGGATTTATGTTTTCAGGTTGTATCGCCTCTCAGGATAGAAATTTTCTACAATTTTATAGTTCTAATGAAAAGCTAAATAATACCATCTCTTTACTATCCTACTTCCATATTATATAAAACATAACATTAATTGATTTTGATATTATACTCTAGCTTGAATTATAACTCAACTAATTTGTGTTTATTCATATCATAATATAAAGCTGCTCAACAAATAATTTTGCAAATCAAAGGCATTATATTTAATTCTAATGTACGAGCCCCCAAATTCAAAATGAACAAAGAATAGTACTAATACATTTAAAACATACTAGCAAATGAATCTGCTAAAGAATAAGCAGCAAAAAAAAAATGTAAAAAGAAACTATGATAGCTTGAGAGATATTTCTAGATGGATATACGACATATTTAAATACATTAAAAAAGAACTTGTAGGGCTATGAAAATTAAAAGCTTAAGCAAAAGAAAAGGCATGTCCAGAAGAGGGTGAGCAGAATGGCAAGGGAACTGGAGAACATTCCATACATTGGCTGATTAAAGGAGACTGGAGAGAAGAAGGCTTAGGGGTGATCTGAAAGCTATATTTAAATAACTGAAGGGCTCTCAAATGGAAAAGGAATTAGATATGTTCTGTTTGTCCCCAGAGGGCAGAACTAGGAAAAACAGGTAGATGATGTAGACAGAAAGATTTAGGCTCAAAGTAAAGAAAAACTTCTAATAATCAGAGCTGTCCAAAGTGAAACAAGTTGTCTCTGGAATCGGTGGATTCCCCTCAATACTTTGAGCAAACCTGGATGACTGACCAATTCTTTAGGATGTTTTAGAAGAGACTTTTGGTCAGCCACAAGTTGAGGTTCCTTTTATCTTACAGATTTCTGTGATTTTTAAGAAATCTAGTCATCTGTGTATTTTGAATAACTAATCCACTGGTATTCTCAAATTCAACAATGTGATAGCTGCAAGACATCAATTCGATATACTCAATTACTTGAACGAGTTTATTACATTGAAAGAAACTCACCAAAATGACTCCCAAGCTCCACAGATCACAAGATTCATCATAGCCATTATGATTTAAGAGCTCTGGAGCAGCATAATGAAGGGTAAAGCATGGTGTCTTAAGTGGCTGATTATCAGGTGGCTTTAAACGTGCAAATCCAAAATCAATTACCTTAATTTCCAAATTATCATTTTCATCAGTGAACAATAAATTCTGTAAGATAAAAACATTAAAGTTAGATTAATGATTAACATTCTATAATAACAGTTGCCTTTATGCAATGCTTTTAAGTTTATCAAATACTTTATATATATTATCTCATCTGCTTTTCACAACAACCCTATGAGGTATGCACTATAGATATTATTATCCTTATCTTACAGATGAGGAAACTGAAAATCATCATATAACATACAGCTGGTAATCTCTCCACTTACTCCAAGGTCACCTTTCTTTCCACTATACCATACTTCCTTCCCAGTGGAAAAGATGCTTGAATATATGCTATTTATAACGATAATTTAGAGAAGTAGCATAGTATAGCAGCTTATGAACAGATGGATATTGGATTAGGTAGATTTAAAATACCAAACCACTGACAATGGGCAAAACACATGATTTTTCTGTGCTCAAGCTTATCATCTGGCAAACAGGCAAACATATTTCCATCTCTAAAGACAATTATCATATGGATTAAGAAATAACTGAACTGTGCTTTCAGATCATTAAGTGAAGTATAAAAAAATGGTAAGATATTTCTGATTGTTTAGAATTCAGTAGCATAGAAGCTCAGCTCTACTTAGCAGCATGTGTGGTACATGTTACACATGGACTAAAGAAAACTTACATAAATAAGTCTCATGTACTATTCTGCATAGAATGCCCAATAGGCTACATTAAACATGCTACTGAACAGACTGGTAGTACTGTATAAAAATATACTTCTGCATTGGCAAATAGACCAAATTTAGGGAAAAATTCTCAACTCACCCAAATTATATCACCCTGATTTATGTAACAAACAAATTCCTAGGAAAGTATTAGAATTAAATTGCTGTCAAGAGTTTGGCATGTTATGTTGTGTTGTCCAGAAAAAGAGAACTTGATTAGGAGTCAGGAGTCCTGGGTCCCAGTTCTCATTTTGTCACCTATGTAACGCTGACCAGTCTCTCACTGAGTCTCACCATTAAAATGAGGAAATAAGACTAGGTGATATCTAATATTCTTTCCAACTATACATTTAATGTGCTTCTTTATCTTTAGATTCTGGCAATTAGAGAAAGATATATCTTTATAGTATCTTTAGTTGGAAGTTTGTGTTTTTGAAATTTGTTTAAAATGAGGAAAATGTATTGCCATTTGAATATAGTCATTTTTATTCTACACTGATTCTATGTAACTGGAAAGTAGAAACAGGTTGTTAAATTCAAAAGAAAAGAAATGCTGCATTAGTATTTTAATAATGGCTTCTTTTAAATAAAATAACCCTTTATTGATGTTTCACTTTTTACATTTAACATAGTTTTCCTTAAGACTCCTCCCCTTCCCAGAGAGCCATCCTATATAAAAATCGTATTTTCTTATGACAAAAAGAAAAGACAAAAAAACCCCAAGCACAATTGAGTAATACACTGAAAAAGTCTGAAAACACATACAATATTCAATGCTTGTAGACCTCTCACCTCCGCAAAAGGGTGTGTTAAGAATGTACTGTCATATATCTTCATTCAAGCCATGCTTGTTCTTTATAATTTTGCAACATTCACTTTTGATTTTGTGTGTGTGGTTGTTCTTAACATTTACACTGTTGTATTCATTGTATACATATATTTTGCCTCTGCTTACTGCATGAAGATAATTCTTCTTCCTTTTTTTTTTTTTGGCTAGGCAATGGGGTTAAGTGATTTGCCCAAGGTCACATAGCTAGTAAGTGTTATTATGTGTCTGAGGCTAGATTTGAACTCAGGTCCTCCTGAATCCAGGCCAGTGCTCTATCCACTGCACCACCTAGCTGCCCCTTCATCATTTCTTACAGCACAAAAATATTCCATTACATTCATGACCATACTCTGTTTACTCATTCCCCAATCAATGGATATCTACTTTGTTTCCAATCTTTTGCTATAGCGAATACTGCTGTAAGTACTTTGGTGTACGTGGGGATTTCCTTCCTTTCAATGACTTCCTTGGGGTATGTGCCCCAAATTGGAATTTCTGGGTCAAAGAATATGGACATTTCAACTGTCTTCCTCCAAACTGCTTTACAAAATGCCTGTATCAATTCACAGATCCCCCAATAATGCACTAAAGTGACTTTTCCCACAGCTCCTCGAATGTTGACTTTTGCCATCTTTTCTGATTTGCAGGATGAAAGGTGAGACCTCAGAAAGGGCTGTTCTGATTTGCATGTCTCTGATTATTAGTGGTTTGGAGCATTCTTTCATGTGGTTGTGAATACTTTGCCATTCTTTTGAGAACTATTGGTTCATATCCCTTGAATACTGGAGAATGGCTATTATTATAAATATGTATGTACATATACAAATAAAATATTCACATGCATTTATATATGTAACATGAAACATAATGTTAATTGGTTATATACCTTGGCGTAAATTATCTCACATAAAAGGGGCAAGAAAAAGCTTTTACAGGGGCAGCTAGGTGGCACAGTGGATACAGTTCTACCTTGGAGTCAGGAGGGCCTGAGTTCAAATCTGCCCTCAGACACTTGATACTTACTAGCTGCATGATCCTGAGCAAGTCACTTAACCCCGACTACCTCACCAAAAAAAAAAAAAAGCTTTTTCAGTGAAGAGGAAGAGGGGGAAGGTGAGAGGGAATGAGTGAATCTTACTCTCATTGGATTTGGCTTAAGGAGGGAATAACATACACACTCAGTTGGGTATGGAAATCTATCTTACCCTACAGGAAAACAGGGAGGAAGGTGATAAGAGAGGGGAGATGATAGAAGGGAGGGCAGAATTGGTGAGGGGCTAATCAGAAGCAAACACTTTTGAAGAGGGACAGGCTCAAAGGAGAGAACAGAATAAACGAGGGGTGGGATAGGATGGAGGGAAATATAGTTAGTTTTTCACAACATGATTATTATGGAAGTGTTTTGCCTGACTATACATGTATAACCTTTATCGAGTTGCTTGCCTTCTCAATGAGGGAGGGTAGGGAAACAAGTGGGAACTCAAGTTTTAAAAATGAATGTTAAAAATTGTTTTTACATGCAACTGGGAAATAAGATATACAGGCAAAGGGATATAGAAATCTATCCTGCCCTACAGGAAAATAGAAGGGGAAGAGGACAAAATAAAGGGTGTTGAAAGAAGGGAGGTCAGCTTGGTGGAAGGGGTATTCAAAATGTACACCATCTTGGGATGGGGGGAGGGGAGAGATTGGGAGAAAACTTGGAACTCAATCTTGTGGAAGTGAATGTTGAAAACTAAAAATAATAAATAAAAATACAACTAAAAAAAGAGTTTTGCATCTGTCTTTGACCCATCCCAGTTCACCTTCCCTTCTATCACTGCCCCCCCCTTATATCCTTGCCTTCCTACTTTCCCGTAGGGTTAGATTTCTATAATTAACTGAGTGTATATGTTATTCCCTCTTTGAGCCAATTATGACGAAAGCAAGGTTCATGCGCTCCCACCCCCGAAGTTCCCTATCTTACTCTTCACTGTAAAATCTCTTTTGTGTCCCTTTTATGTCAGATAATTTACTCCATTCTCCTTCTCTCTTTCCCCTTCTCCAAGTGCATTCCTTTTTCTCACCTCTTAACTTTATTTTTTAGATAATCATCACATCATATTCCATTCACATGCCTACTGTCTATTATATATGCCTTCTAAATGCTCTAGTAATGAGAAAGTTTTTAGGTATTATAAATATCATTTTCCCATGGAGGAATGTAAACAGTTTAACCTTACTGAATGAAACTCTTATGATTTCTCTTTCCTCCTCTTGAGTTCTGTATCTGAAACTCAAAATTTCTATTTAGCATTGGTCTTTTCAACAGGAATGCTTGAAAGTTTTCTATTTCATTGAATACCCATTTTTCCCCCTGAAGGATTATACTCAGTTTTGGTGGGTAGGTGATTCTTGGTTGTAATCCTAGCTCCTTTGCCTTTTGGAATATCATATTCCAAGCCCTCCAATCCTTTAATGTAGAAATGGCTAAATGTTGTGTTATTCTGACTGTGGCTCGACAATATTTGAATTGCTTCTTTTTAGCTCCTCACAGTAATTTCTCCTTGACCTGGGAGTTCTGGAATTTGGCTATAACATTCCTGAGAGTTTTCATTTTGGGATCTCTTTCAGGAGTTGACTGGTAGATTTTTTCACTTCTATTTTACCCTCTGACTCTAGAACATCAGGGCAATTTTCTTTGATAACTTCTTGAAAAATGATGTCTAGGCTCTTTTTTTTTTTGATCATGGTTTTCTGGTAGTGCATTTTTTCGTTTAAAAATTTTTGTTTTATTGTTTCTTGATGTTTCTTGATTATGGTTTTTAAAATTATTTTTTCTTCATAAAGTCATTAGCTTCCACTTACCCAATTTTAATTTTTAAGAAACCGTTTTTTTCAGTGAGCTTCTTTATCACCTTTGCCATTAGGCCAAGTTTACTTTTTAAGTTCTTTTCTTCAGTGAATTTTTGTGCCTCTTTTTTCCCTTTGGCCAATTCTGCTTTTCAAGGCATTCTTCTCCTCACTGGAATCTTGGATGTCTTTTACCATTTGGCCTATTCTGCTTTTTAAACTGTTATTTTCTTCAGTGTTTTTTTGTGCCTTCTTTACCAAGCTGTTGACTCTTTTTGAAATTTTTCTTGCATCTTTCTCATTTATCTTCCTAATTTTTCCTCCTTTTTGAGCTCCTCCGTGTCCTGAGACCAATTAATATTTTTCTTTGAGGCTCTGGATGTAGCAGTTTTGACTCTGATGTCTTCTTCTGAGTGTGTTGTGATCTTCCTTGTCACATAGTAACTTTCTATAGTCAGATTTTTTTTCCTACTGTTTGCTCATTTTCCCAGCTTATTTCTTGACTTTTAACTGTATTAAAGTGGGGCTCTGCTTCTGGGATGGAGGGCTCACTTTCCCAAGCTTCAAGGTTTCTGTGCAGCTAGCTTCAGAGCTAGTTTGGGGTGGGGGGGTGTGGTCTGTAAGCTTTCAATTCTTCCAAGGTGGTATGATCTAAGGAGAAG